CCTGGACTCCTCATTCCTATAGCCACGACTATCACCACAAACACCTCTCAACTCTCGCAAAAACCAACCACATCTACATCTCAACCTACAGCTCAGAACATCTCCACTCAACAATGTCCATGCTAATGTGTCAGCAACAACAGACACTGTTGATCCTACGTCATATACAGAAGCTATCAAACATGCAGTATGGAGAAAAGCAATGGCAGAAGAATTTCTTGCATTACAAAAACAAGGAACATGGGAACTTACACAGGCTCCCCCCAATACAACAATATTGGGCTGCAAGTGGACATTCAAGACAAAGTGGCACTCGGATGGGACCATAGCCAGGCACAAAGCAAGATTAGTTGCTCAAGGAAATCACCAAGAATATGGTGTCAATTATCTGGACACATTCAGTCCAGTAGCCAAATTCCCAACAATCAGAGCATTTCTCACCATAGCAGCATCTAAAAACTGGCCGATACATCAACTAGATGTAACCAATGCATTCTTACATGGTGATAACGAAGAAGACATATACATGAGACAGCCAAAGGGATTTGAAGATACGACTAATCCAGAAATGGTATGTCACCTTCGGAAAGCACTATATGGACTGAAACAAGCACCAAGATAGTGGTTTAAAATGTTCTCAGCACACATCAAAAAGCTCGGTTTTGAAAATGGAAAAGCTGACTCATCTCTGTTCATTCTAAGAAAGGATAATATAGAACTATACATGGTGATATACGTGGATGATATACTACTTACAGGAAATAGCTCAAGTATGATAGCTCAGACAATCAGCCAAATGAATCAGAAATTTGAAATGAAGGATCTGGGAACAGTTAACAATTTTCTCGGCATACAAATTACTCGGGTCAAAGGCACATACTTTCTATCCCAGTCATCATATGCAAAATCCATAATTCATTTGGCTGGACTATCAACATGCAAACCACTTGCCAATCCAACAGCAGTTAAACAAACTCAAAATCCAGAAGCAGATCCTATACTATCAGATCATTACACATATCGGAGAATAACTGGAACTCTACAGTATCTAACAATCACAAGACCAGACATTTCGTATGCAGTTAACATCCTATGTCAACACATGCATCAACCAGAAGCAGAGCATGCTCAATCTCTGAAGAAACTTCTACGATACATTCAAGGAACATGCAACTATGGTATTCCGGTTACTCCAGGTTCACTAGATCTACATGCATACTCAGATGCAGACTGGGCAGGTGACAAAAAGACAAGAAAATCAACTACAGGATATTGCACCTTTCTTGGAAATAATATATTATCATGGAGCGTAAAGAAACAAAACACGGTTTCTCGATCATCAACGGAAGCCGAATACAGAGCGCTGGCTGCAGCGACAGCGGAAATCATCTGGATAAGAAAACTACTACAAGACTTCAATGTACAGCTCAAAACCCCAACAGAACTAAGGTGTGATAATATGTCTGATATTGTCCTCGCGAATAATCCAGTGTTTCATTCAAAAACAAAACACATAGACATAGATCAACACTTCATTCGTGACCATATACACTGCGGAAACATCAAAGTGATTCCTGTAACTACACATGATCAACTAGCGGACATCTTCACAAAACCGTTAGCCACAGTCAGATTTCAAGATCTCAGGAACAAGCTCACCATCCAGCCGGACAGTAAGCTTGAGGGGGAATATTAGCAACAAGCAGTATAGAAGATAAATACAGAGAGCAGAGATGAGAAGAGACGAGAAGAGTCGCATGAAGAAGATATAAGCAGAACGAAGAGAACGATCTGCCACGTCGACTCAGCGACAGCTCACGAATAGGTCACCGTGGCTCAGAACGTTCAGCTCACCGAACTTCAAGAAAGGACAGCTCATCACTTTCTAGAAGTATCTGTACATAGAAATGTATAAATACAGAGTTAAAGCATATGTAATGAGATATAACAGAAATCGATTCTAATGAGATTCTGATTTGATTTCTTCTCCACTCATCTCATTTCTTTAGATACCATTCTTATAATTATAATACAAACAATCCTGTCAAGAACAATAATCAATGGCCAATAAAAATCAAGCCAAGAATTCATATTTAATAAAAAAAATGTTTAATAAGGTTTTATTTTTCATCTTTTTATTATATTATAATACGATAGCTGTTGAATTAGAGGAAAATTGTGGAATAATTACTACAAATCTCTATCAGCAATTCAGCAGTGACGGGGCTTTTTTTTTTTTTAACAGTGATATAAAATTAATTAATTTTAGTTACCTTGATTATTAATTTTTTTTTTAATTTAATAGATTTTCGAGTGTGAATATTGTAGCTGCTGTGTTTTCTTTTCTTTTTTTATTTGGAACTGAGCCAATAATATTATTCATAATTTAACTTTCTTTGAATTTTGTAGAATAAATGAAGAATAATGCTTCACAGTTTTAAAGGAAGAAAGAGCAATAGATAATCAGATCGAGCACATTACCTTCTTTTTTTTTTATCTGCCGAGCTCGATGCTGCTCTATTTTGGATTCTGATGAACATAAATAATTCAGTCTGCTGCTTTGATGTTTGTAAGACTATTTGCTTCAAAGTTATTTAGATGGTTTTGTTATTGTTAATAAGTTAATATTCTTTAGAATGATCAATTAATAGTGATTAAAATATGCATTTTGGTCATCATTTATTTTTAGCCATCAAATGTATACTAAGATCTAGTACACAAATTAATATGAGAGAGAGAGAGAGAGAGCATTCATAAGAGATCAAATTTTTTATGTGAAAACTCCTAAAAAGTAGAAGAACCATAGGGCTTTGCCCAATTTGAATGAATCTACTAGTATTTGTTTTGAATTACAAATGATGCCCTTACTTCGGGGAAGATATTTGCTCAATGTAGCAAATATACATCATATAATGCACTTTACTAAGGCTGGGGCTGAAAGAACCCAATGTCAGGATAGCTATTCTTAAGAAAGTGTTAGTCTGTTCATTTGGTTGTTAAGGCTGTATTTGGAAGATAGAGGTCGGAGGGACCGAGGCCGGGAAGTGACGGAGGTCGGAGGGACCGAGGCCGGGAAGTGATGGAGGTCAGAAGAATCATAATTGGGTGATGGTGGTCAAAAAGACCGTAGTTGGGCGATGGTGATCGAAAGGATTGTAATCGGACAAAGTTGTCAGATGGATAGTAGTCGGTGAGCATTGAAAGTTGAAAGGACTGTAGTCAGGCGTTGATGGTCGAAGCGACCATAATCGACTAGGGATGGTGGTTGGAATGACCGTAGTCAGCATGCGATGAATGTTGGAGGGATTATTATTGGTGGGCGAAGGAGGTCAGAGGGACCATTGTTGACGGCGACGGCGGACGATGAAGGTTGGAAGGATAGTACTCAAGCAACGATGGTCGAAGTGACTGTAGTTGATGATGGCAGTCGGAAGAACTGTAGTCGGGCGATGGTGGTCAAAAGAACCGTAATCAGGCGATGATGGTTGGATGGACCGTACGTAGTTGGCTAGCGATGATGGTTAGAGGGATCATAGTCGATGGGTGACGGTGGTCGGATGGACTATAGATGACGGGCGACGGTTGTTTGAGGGATCGTAGTCAGCGGGCGATGGAGGTCATGGGGACCCTAGTCGGCAAACAACGGTGGTCGAAAAGAGATCTAGCAGTGGTGTTGGCTGCATAATGTAAGAGAGCTCCCTGATTAATCTTTTCCTCTATTTCTCACTCTCTTCATATGAAGGATGAGGATCTATTTATAGTTTTCTTAGAGTGACATGCTTAGTAAATATGAAGAAGATCTAGGACAAATTTGGAGTGTTCCATCAAACGGATGATATTAATTCCCTCTATTATGTAGTGTTCCTCAAACATTTATATGTCATAACAACATCATAATTAAGCTATATTGGGCTCATTGGATTCTTCTAGTCAAGCAGCTCGATTCGGCTATAAGCATGTCATATTTAGATTTCATTTATCCATCCAATTAATGTTTTGAAGTCCTCAAATATGTTTTAGTCTTTTGATTTGAGCCTATTTGGGCTTAGATTGGATTGAATTTAGTGTCGTTGGGTTTGCCTCCTTGAGGTGTTCAATTTGACTATAAGTTTGCTTAAATCAAAATTTGGAAGGTCCTGAATTTAATTTTTCAATGTTTCTACTTAACATTTGCATCGAGATTCATGCCTGACCCAGCCGATTTTTTAGTGACATCAATTACAATAATTTTGAAGGATAAAAATAAGAAGATGATATGTTCCTTCTTTATTTTTTGTTGACAAGAAAGTTAGAGAGAAATGTAGTTGTAAGTTTGTAACACAAACATTAAAAAAAAAATCTATTTACTCTGATTTTTTTTTATTTCTATTTACTCTGATCATCCCTAAATATCAAAATATTAAGTTTGACATTGAATGTAATCATTCTTCAATTAATTATTCTTTAATTCGTCTTACTTCCATTTTATCTTTCTTATTTAATTTGTTACATCAACTCACTAATCAACTTTTTTTCTATATTAACGAACAATTTTATCGTTTACTAAAAATATAGCTGGTGGTATTTATATATATAGTTATGCTCATTAAAATATGCTAAAATTAATAAATTTATTGACACGTAGCATATCACAATGAAAAATCACATGAAAATCTTATCATTATTAACGAATATTAATCGTTGATGCTTATCTAATCAACAATTATGATAAATTAATTTAATTCCTAACCCCATCATAATGAAAACTTATATTCAAATCACATCATCATCAACTAATTTTTAAATATATCTTTCTAAATCATCTAAATTTTTAAAAATAAGTAAATATATTTTTAATCCTCCTCCTTACCTACACGTACCTATCGCATTCAAATGCGTGGCTAACAAAAAGGAATTAATGCTAATAAAATTTAGGAGACTCACGCAAGTCAAAAGGTTAATCAAAGGCTAAGCATCACTAATTAATTAATTAATTAGTGCAATATTTTATCTAATCAAACAAAGAAATCATATTATTATGAAATTGGCATACATCATTAAGTTATTATAACTTAATGCTTTAGACTTTAGAGAGATGAACAAATGAAAGGGACGACAGGACAGTTGAACGTAAAATTAAGAAGAAGAAGAAGAAAAATTTACTCCCTTAAGAAAGACATCGATCAATATTCATGATTACATAATGGTACATGAAGAAGGATCCTCCTCGCAGAAGAACTGACAGGTGGAAGAGGAGGGGACGGTCATGTAGCCTCCAGCAGGTGGCGGTGGCGGCGCCGTCCACCCGATGGGCATTCCGCAGGAAGAGCACCGGCAGCCGCCATAATATTGCTCATAGCACGGTCGCCAGCAGCAGGTCGGGAAGGCTGGATAGACAGGCCAGAAAGGCTGGTACTGTTGAACCGGGTCAGGATTGGGCTTCTCCTTCTCCTTGGGCTTCTCCTGTTCCTTTGGCTTCTCCTTCTCCTTGGGCTTCTCTTGCTCCTTGGGCTTCTCCTTCTCTTTGGGTTTCTCTTGCTCCTTCGGCTTCTCCTTCTCCTTGGGCTTCTCCTGCTCCTTCGGCTTCTCCTTCTCCTTCGGTTTTTCCTGCTCCTTCGGCTTCTCCTTGGGCTTCTCCTGCTCCTTAGGCTTCTCTTTCTCCTTAGGCTTCTCCTCCTCTTTGATCTTAATGTCCTTAATCACCTTACATGCTTTGCATAAGAGCTTCTTCTTTAATTTTTGGGGATCAAAGAACCCAGAAATCGTTACAGTATTATTCTTCTCATCAAAGGTGATCGTCTCGATTTTCTCTCGGGCTTAATTTTAATTAAATGAACAAGCAATTAGAGAATTAATAAGTATATGAGAATGAATTAAGTTGGTAATGCTTACCTTGGAGTTTGCAAATGGTCTTCTTGATCTTCTTAGAACAGATATAACAATCAAGGTCAACGGTCAAGATTAATGTGGAGATCTGTGACAGTGTTTTTGTGGTTAATTTGCTTAATAAATTCGTTTAGTAGCTTAAGTTCAAAACAGCAAAATCAATCAAGGCAGATTAAGAAGAGCCCTAAACAATGGACTATAATGCAACTATAGCAGAAAAATTATAGGGAAAACAGAAGAGATATAATCAATTAAGAGTAGAAGAGTAGAAGAGAGAGTACCTTTCCTGCCATGGGAAGCTCCAATGAAGCAGATATGTTAGAGGGAAATAAGGGGAACGAGACAGAGAGAAAGAAGACAGTCAGAGGGAAAGCTCTGTGTGAAGACCGAAGGGGAAGGGGAAGGGGAAGGGAAAGGAGGTGACGTTTCCAATATGGACTCAATTGACGGTAGGTTGGAAGGTAGGGCATAGCTATCATCCAATGGTATGCATTGACGCATGCGGCCAATGCGTATGTACGTAGGCTTTTCACGCGGGGAATATGACTGTCACGCATAGGGTGCAAACTAGGGGTGTTCAAGTCCAGCTCGACTGTCAAATATCGAGCTTGAACTCAAGTTGAGCTCGAGCTGGACTCGTCTCACATCGAGCTGCTCGTCGAGCTCCTTCCCGACCTCTGTCGTTGAGCATCGTCCTGAGCTACGCCGACCTACTCGAGCTCTATCGTCCGTCGTCTCGTCGAGCTCCGTTGAAGCCGTCCTTCGTCCCATCATCCATGATCCCATCGAGCTGCGTTGTCCGTCCTGTCGTCCCTTCGAGCAACTTCGCCCGTCGTCCCTTCGAGCTACGTCGCCTGTTGCCCCGTCGTGTGTTGTCCCGTCGAGCTTCATTGTCCTGTCGAGCTTCGTTATCCCGTTGAACTTCTACATCGTTTTGATTTACCTGCTCGGCCTTCGATTAGTCCTCTCGCTCGCCGAAACCAAAGTTTAATTTTTCCAGCCGGTCACCTCTACGAGCTACTCGACGTACTGATGAATCGAGCAGAGGTCTGTTCGAGCTCGATAAGTCGTCGAGGTCGAACTCATGTTCAAACTTGACTAGCGAGCTCAATAAGCTTGACTCGTCGAGCTTGTTACTGAGTCGAGTCCGAGTCGGTTCATGAGTCGGCTTAACTCGGTTAGACCACTAGTCACGCAGTTGTAGCTCACCTCAGCAACTAAGAGATTTGAGTTAGAATCTTATATATGTGATGTGTTTATAAAATTATCTTAATTGATCTAAATGTAAAAAAATTGTCACGTATATCACTTTGATTTATTGGTTACAAGTTTTGGCAATCAATTAAAAGGTCTAAGGTTTAAAACTTGCAGATATGTTGTGCTTATGAATTTGTTTTAATTGGCTCAAATATCCTTAAAAACAAAAGACTGTCAACCATTAAGCAGATAACCAATTTGATTTTCTTTTTAACTCTGAATGTATTAATAGATGCTCCCATTGATGATAGTAAACACTGTGTAATTATTTTAATTTGATCATTCTTTTAATTTTCACACACTCTTTCAATATATCTTTCATTCAGTACTCAATTTAAAGACAATAATAAAAGTTTAAATACATTGCTAGCTCTGTTTTTCTTGCTAAACAAAAATTAATACTTCAACAGTTTTATTATTCACAGATAAGCAATGTAGTTTATCCTAAAAATAAATGTCCAAAAAAAAAAAAAAAAAAATGTAGTTTATCCTATTTTTTGAAAAAAGAAAAACTAATCCTGATTTTATGTCATTCTTTTAAAACCATATCAATATCTCATTATAAATGTTAATATTAATATCAAGTTTAATAATTATTGCATGTAATATTTGCAATGGTAGAGTAAGAGAGTTTAATTAAGGTCTTAACATTGTAGAGATTTTAATATATAAATAAAAGAAAAAAATTGTAAGAAACCCTAGAGTTTTGAGATGGAAAATATGAAAAAGGACAAAAAAATATGAGGATTGACCAAATTAAAATGATTACACAGTGTTTACTATCGGTTACAAATGATACCCTTTATCATGATTAGGCAAGGTGTTGATATAATTTAGTAAACAAAAACTGTAAAATGGATTCCATGGTGAAGGTTGAAATAATCTTATGACATTGGATTTTGCTTCAAGAGAATGTTTATTATTTATTTGGTTGTCTTTCAATTATAGTGATTGGAATATCATGAGCATATGACGATGATTAGAGGAATGTAGCAGGGTGAGACAATGGTTGGAAGGCCGTAATCGGGTGCCAATAGTTAAAGGAACGAAATCAAGTGACAGTGGTCAAGGAATCATAATCAGGCAATGGTACCCGAATGATCAAAGTCGGGCATGATTACTAGAGGACCATAATCAAGCGATCCTAATCAAATTATCGCAGTTGGATGAGGGTTATCTTATGACATTGGTTGGGCTATCTTCTAATGGTTGTTTTCGATCTGACTATGAAATTCAAGCAATGATTCAAATGTGTTGCTCGGTTGGAGAATTGTGATTCATTAAGCTTTTGAGCTCTCTTAAATCTTAAGAAAAGAGTCCAAGCTACAAGCCCCCTTTATGTAAAAGAGTGTGCCTATTTATTGATTTGTCATAAAAACTTATCCTGTAAATATAGTCAAAATTTGAAACACTCCATCAAATGGCTTGCATTAATTATGTAAATCATGGACCATCCCTTTAGTATGTAATTGCGTTAATAATGATAGAATTAAGCAATATTGGGCTTGCGAGATTATTCTCTCAATGGCACTCAATTTAATTACAAGACGTAAGATTTGGAGATCGTTTAATGCTCCAAATAATGTCCCAAAGCTTTTTATTGAGCTTAAAAATGCTTGAATTGAGATCATTTGGACTCTAATCACATCATTTTTGATGCCGATGGGTTTCATTGAGACTTTCAGAATTACTATAAGTTTGTTAAAACCAGAGTTTAAAATATTCTAAAATTAATTATGGAAGTTTTCTAGTATTTGATCAAGTCGATTTTTAATATCGTATTAGCAATAAATCCTAGCAGTTTTTCTAGGTTACAAGAAAACATAGGAAAAGATTAATAATTATAAAATAGAAAAAATTATTAACTTTCATGCAAATTTTAAAATATTATTTTGACCTTAAAACTTTGGCAATATTGTCACAAGTTTTCTTAAAATTTATTATGAACTAATAGAAAAGGAAAAAAATTATCATGATGGGCTTACAATTCATTAGATTTATTTTGACATTAGTGCATTACAAGTTCTTCATAGTAACCTGTCGCTTAAGAATGCACCTGTTTAAGTAAGCATCCTTGCTAAGTAGGTAAAAATTTAACAAAAAAATTAGGGTAAGGTTTAAAAGTTGAACATGTTATGAATGGTCATTAGGCGTAAGTTTTTCAGTTTCTTATGTCCAGCATTGAGGGTTACCACATGAATCTTTCTCTAAATAATTCAAATGATTGTCTAAGATTATCGAATGTTTCTCTGGCTTGTACTTGCACCTTAGGGTAGAGTAGTTGATCCTCTAAGTTAGTAACCTGTTTTTGGAAAGACTAAAGCCCTAAAATGCAACAGTATTTTCTAAACTCGCACTCAGTTTTTGAGGATTCAGATCATCATCACGCTCTGTTCCATAAATTTTCATTGACTTCAAAAGTTCCTAAACATCTTCCAATATGATAACAGCATATTTTTCGTTGATCTCATCGTCGCCATGAACGAAATCTTCCAATTCTATAGGATCAATAGAAATATTTAAATGTTTCATGGTTTATAAAACATTCGTGCCCAAATCATTATCTTTATCACCCACATCAATATCTGCTCTAATGTCATTATCTCTGTCTTGATAAAGGAATTTTTTTCGAGCTTATCGCTACAGAATCCCAAGAAGTTTTCACATAATTTGTTGCATCAAGCAGGTGTGTTGGATTTTTGTAACAAACCCTAGTAGTTCCTCGGCATAACCGCTACCCTTGCTCCTTACAATTCTTCTCCTCGTCAAGTTTGTAAGAATCAAGGACATTCTTGAATATAAATACTTGTATCGTTTCTTAAGAGCTTCGATTATTCTCATATCACATGGTTGTTTCCAGCTCGTGCAATTTGGGGGGGAAGAATACTATCCGGATATTACCCCGTTCGAAAGCTTCGAAATGTTCAAGAACATTGTCCATTAGCAACAGAACGCAAAATCCGGTATGATTTTTCACTTCGGGAGAAAACACCACATTGAACCATTTCCAACAAGTTTTCTTATCCATCCATGCTTTTGCTTGATTTAAATATTTAATTGACCATTGATAATCCTTGATATAAGTTGGCCCTTTCGGCTTTCCATTCAAAGCGCAGAAAATCTTCTAATCAGTTCTCGTGGCATTTGCGTAGACGATAAGAGAAACTCGATCTTTGCCTTTTCTCTTACCCCTAGGGGTGGAAATGTCATCATTTGGCATAAGTAGGCCATATCTCTGAAGTAAACTAAAGAATATCCCAGCCTCATCCATATTATAATTGTTATCAAGATCATATTGTTCGATAATCTCGTATAAAACCTTTAACACTGTTAACAACTCTAGATTGCCCTTGTTAACTTGTGCTCCCTCTCCATGAAGGAGCATCTTTTGCAAACCTCAACGTGCTCTGAATTGGCTCGACCATTACTAGGATGCCTTAAAATCTGTGTTCAGATTTGAAAGGGTAGAGGCGATGTTTTTTTGCTTTGGCAATGGCGAGAGAGAGCAGTACAAATAAATTAACACAACGCATACTTTTGATCCAAATAAAGAGCATATCTTCAAGCTTTATAAATTGACCAACATACGCTCGAAATGCCTTTTCTTTAGCTTCTTCGAGCATCAGCGTAGAGATTTCAATAATCTTCTCTCTATTGTACCACACCTTTCGGATGCACATTCATTCATGTCATACTCTCGCACTGAAGCACGCATACAAGGAGGATTCGTCTTGCCAGCTTTGAAATGATCTCGCATCGCTAGTACTCATTCATTCGCTTTCAATTTGGTTTCTTCGACATCAAAGAGAAACCAAGAGTATGCACATATATGTTAGGTAAGCACAATCCTTCCAAGTTCAAGTAATGTACTTAAGAGACTATTGTATATGTAACATTAATTTCAAAGCAAATCTAATAATTTGTAAGCTTGTTCATAAACATTATGCCAGGATATCTTGAGACAGTTTTGTCAAATACAGTATATTATCAATAATCATGATAAATTTTTAAAAATTATGTTTAATTTTATTGTAATACATAATAGTACTATTAAGATTCTATTTGAGATAGCTGCAGCATTTTATAAAGTTGGTTGTTATGTTATTGTAATAAAAATAACTTAACTATTATTGTTGTACAAAGCAGTTTTTCACAACAATTTTTTTAAAAAAACAACAAGAAAGTAAGAAAAATCAGTTATCAAACGAAATTGTGATTACTGTCTAAAAAAAAACATATGAAAAAGCTATCATAAACATATCCTAAGATTTAAAAAAAAAAAACACACACACACATGATTAGCAAAATATATTAAACGATTATTCCTTTACAAAAATAACAATTATTAAACTTTAAAAAAAAATCAAACTACAATCTTTTGAAACAAATAATCTCTTATTTGATGTGGAATGAATATATTTTTATGAGTGGGTGAATGTTTGCCCTTCTCCTAATGAGTTGGTGTAGACTTTTAATGGTATGGTGGGGGGCCACAGTCAAGTTTTGTTCCACCAAATGTCACAATTATTGCCCTCTTATTATAAACCAAGAAATGCAGATAAGACAACCCACACTATTATTGCAGGCGCCTTCATTAGTTAGCAGAGCAGCTAATGAGCTTAGATGCCTTGTCTTTTTCAACTCACAGATTGGACTTACCTTTGCAGAATATTTTCCTCCAGAAGCTATCGAATCAATTCTATAATGACAACTAATAGGCTTGCGGGCCGCCAAATGGCAGACTAGATGACAGCCCGCCTGCACTTTTCAGATGGGCCTAGCTGCCAGCTTCTCCTGGCAAGGCCCAACTAGCCCGCAATCCATTAATATGTATTGCATGTCTTAATAGAATAAGTTATGGAATAGTGTCAGAGATAGTTATCGACAGTTATATACAAAGGAATGAGTATACTGTAATTATTGCAGATGGAGAGTGCTTGCAGCCTTGACAGAGGTAGAGGAACCTATGAAGGATCTGAATCTTCCACTTTGTCAGGAGATCGGATGCAAAATGTCATTCGGAGATCAATCAGAATGCGACATGTCAGCAGTACCGAGCCATCATATCGAACTGTGGTACTGAGCACATAGGTGATAAAGCGCATTATCAATGTGTTAGGATTTCATGGAGACGAAAATAACAAATCGATCGTCTTCGAACGACATGCCAAATCATCGAGAAGAATTTTCGGAAGCGTACCTGAATCCATTGAAAAGCAGAATTAAGGTCTTTCGATCTTCCACGTTTAGAGCGGCGTTCTCCAAGAAAGCGAGAGACCCCTTCTTTTCACTCAAGATGGGAAATGAGAGAAATGAGAACTTCACCGCTTAAACTGGGGACCATGACCCTTATATACTTTAAGTGTAAATATTTTATTTCAGCCCATCATAAAAATAAAATAAATACCCGGCCTCTACACAAATTAATTCCATACAAAATTAATTGAGATGCCACATAAGCCAAATAATAATTTAATACTCAATTAGATCACAAATTTAATTGTCTTAATTTTAGATAGCGTTTAATGTATAATTCTTTATTTATATGTATAAAATATATTGGCCCACATATAGAAATTTCCCAACACAATGATCTCCGGACGGCATTTGGCGTCCGCACATAAAAAGTAATCTTCTGCTCTTCTGATTCAATGGATGAGGATAAAGGACTAGAATTCTGATTGGTGCATGAGGCCTTCTTCTTTTAGAACTTCTTCTCTACTTTCTCTCCTTTTTTTCCCTTCTTATTGTCAAAAACTAAATTAGGGCATTCTCATCTGATGTGCATGGGCTTCGTGCAATGATAACATCAAATGTTTTCATCTGCAGAAGAATTTTTAGTTTCAATCTTATGCAATTTTGACTTGTCATATTTTTATTGCCTCTTCCTTAGCATTGCTAGCTTATTGACAACTACTACAATCCTAAAGATACTTCCGTATGAATCTTCAATCTACATTGCTTGCTTTGGCCTTCTCCTTTTTCTTCTTCCAAGAAGGTTTTCTGACTAGCCATAGTCTACTTATGAGCTCTCAAAGAAACCAAAAATTGATCAAGTTGATAAATATGCTGATTTCATCATTTTGAATCCCACTCTTAAACAAATAAATTCAAATTTTGTGCAATAATATAAACATGATAGAAGTTATATAATTTTAAAAAAAGTGTGTTCATTTTAGAAATGTTTTCATCATATTTCATGTTAAAGGTTCAAACTAACAAATCTATTCATCAACACCTTCACATGCATTTTATAATTTCTTTCAAATTTCTTTAGAGAAATATAGGCTTTTAAGATCGATGTTATCTAGCGAAGCATTTTATTTTTTCTCTCACGTTCAATTTACAAACCTAAACATCCTAATGACTATTGAGCTCCAAATGATCTAACATGTCTTTAGCATCTTTCATCAAAATTAGTGCAAACTTTCAATCCTAAAATAACTAAGTTTAAGAATTAGCATCACAATCATATGTTCGAAGCATCCGTGAATCATATCCAGTAATATTAAGAATACTGAGTGAAAAAAAAAGAGAGAACATAGAGAGATAGAGAGCGAATAAGAAATTCTACGATACGAAGCTATAGAATTTTATTAAAATAGGCTTGATTACATAAAATTGCATAAATTGACCTCATCTCTCAGCTCTCTATTTATATATTTGGCTTAAGCATCATAGAATTGGAGGTTTATTGTAAAAAGAATAGTATTATATAAAAAATATTTTTATTAATTAATCATATTACTTTCATAAATAATTATTTTAAAATTAGATATTAGTTAACCAATTTTATGTTGACTTTGATGTTATCCTTTTGTCCACATCAATCGAGACTTGGCATATAAATTGAAGATTGATGTTTTTTGTTCAAATATTTTTTTCATCAACTTTTTACTTCTGGTTGGCTGTGAAATTAATGAGTAACAGTTACTTTTAGCAATTTGGTGGAAGCTCTTTATCATTGTGTTTTCTGTTCTATCATTGACAGATTTATAATTCCAAAAACCTTTTGTGTGATTGGTATACATCTTTTTATATCTCCCCATGGAAACCTCGCCCACCACAAGCTTCTAAATGCTGGAAAAAAATTCACATCACTGCTTTGAGAATTAAGGATCACATCACTTTTAATGTGGGTCAAGACTGCTGTTTTTCTATGCTCTGGGACCCTTGGCTCAAGGGTTGTCAGATCTCTGAGATCCTTAATTCTGTGCTAAATGCTAGTACTTTGGTGAAGGACTTCATTGTTGGTGGCAATTGGTCTCTCCCTTGTTCTTTTCCCAAAGCTATTTCCTCTGCTATTCTAAATTGCAAAATCCTGGAAAATTCTGAAGTACTTTGGAATGGGTCTCCGAATTGGATGTTTAAAGCCTTTACCAACATCTTTTATTCTCATTTAACTAAGGTTGAATGGTATCCTTTGATTTGGTATAAGAAGCATACTTTGAAATATGCCTGCTATAAATGGATGGCCATATTAGGGAAGCTTAAAACAACGGATAATTTGCAATCCAGAGGAATTGCTGCACCCCAGGCTTGTTCTCTTTGTCACGGCAATCCGGAAAATCATAGTCATCTCTTCTTTGGCTGTGATTTTTCCTTTACTATTCTTACCAGATTATTGCCTGACTTAAAGTGCTTCTTACTTAGACCGACTATTGCTCAAATTTTCGATTTTTTTGAGCAATCGATGATTTACAGCAGGCTGGAGAAAAACTTTTGCTTCCTTACTGTAAGTTGCACTATTTATCATATATGGAGAGAGAGAAACAATCGGTGTTTCTCTAACTTAAATGCAAATTCAGTCAAAATCCTATGTAATATTTTTGCTGCTATTCCCCTTAAAGTTTCAAAATGGCAAAACAAAGACACGCTGATGAGGAGGTTCACTGGTATTTAACTTTAGCCCATTCGTTGAGCTTCTGTGGTTTTTGCTGCTTATCTTTGCTCACCTGGAGCTTTCTCTATGTTTTTTCATTGGTTTAGGGTTACTGGGTATACAAAAATATTTTGTGGGCATGTTCTTTATGCTCCAGTTTTGATTATTTTGGTATACACATCTTTCTTGGTATTACTTTTTGGGGGCTGCGGCAAACCCATTCCTCTAGTCCATCTAATGTGGTACCAGTTAACATAGTCGTGATGGAGAACACCAGATTTCTGCAACGGTTTTGTCCACCGTGGCCACTTTCCTCTGCTCTTTTAACAGTCCTGCAATCCACTAGTTTTATAATTATTAAGCTTTAGTTATTACCGTAATACCCTTAGTTTCCTGTTGCTTTTTGTATTAGACGCCTGTAATGTGAGGCGGAAGCAGATTTTATCAAATTATCAAGTTACTGTTCCATTGCTTTGTGCGTGTTGTATTGTGGTTTTCAGTGCAGATTCCGGTGAAACCTCCGGTTCCACACCAACTGGTATCAGAGCCATTCTCCGCTCAGCACTGTGATGGCCGAAACAAGCCGACGAGCTGCTCTTGACGATGATCGGAGCCAAGAGGATCTGCGAGCAGCAGTTAACACCATCTCGAAAGAGTTGACAGAGCTTGCTGCCGAGTTCCGACGATTCGCCGTGGAGACGAACAGGGATATACAGGAGTTGAAGCAACACAGTGGCGTACCCACTGGAGGTCGGAGATTGGAACGCGAGGATACATCGCCAATACGGCGGGGACGAATGAATACCGATCGGACACCTCGAGCACTTCCCACTATTTATCCTGGTTTTTCTGACTCGAAGGAAGAAGATGAACAACTGACGGGAACAGATTTCTTTGAACAAGAAGGAAGAGGAGTTGGGGAACGACTGGGAGCCAGACGGATTCGGGATCGCCCAACTGTTCATCACGGTGAGTTCCGCGTTAAGATTGATATTCCTTTCTTTGAAGGACGTCTCCACATCGAAGATTACCTGGACTGGGAAAGAGCGGTCGAAACATTTTTTGACTACATGGAAATTCCACCCGAAAAACAAGTGAAGTATGTCGTTTGTCGTTTGAAAGGGGGAGCCAGTGCTTGGTGGTTGCAACTACAGCAAAACAGGCAGCGAGAAGGACGGGGGCTCGTCCGGAATTGGCACCGAATGAAGTAGCTTATGCGAGGTCATTTCCTGCCAACCGATTACGAGCAAATGCTTTTCCATCAATATCAACATTGTAACCAAGGGCAGCGCACCGTCAGTGATTATACCGAAGAATTTTACAGGTTGAGCGCACGCAACAATCTGAGGGAATCTGAGAATCAACTCGTTGCCAGGTACACGGGAGGTTTGCGGGAGGCGGTGCAAGACAAGTTGCAACTAAATTCCTTGTGGACACTCTCACAGGCCGTCAATTTTGCACTCAAAGCCGAATTACAACTATCAAAACAATCTAAGAGTTACTCCTCGCGACGGATCCTCCCTGATCAGCCCAGCGATTCCCGCAGTTTGAGTTCCAATAAACCCACCGCTCAAGCATTACCCACGGGCACCAGTAACAATTCTGACGGCAAAGCACCCTTCAAGCCTCGGCAACCACCACGAGATAATCCTTACATAAAGCCCACGACCTTAAAGTGCTTCCGTTGTTTCCAGCTGGGGCACAAATCAAATGAGTGCCCCACACGTCCACAGCTACAACTCGTTGAGGGAGACAATGAGGAAACGGAAGAAAGAATCACGGCCGATTATGACGAGAATGTAGAGGAACTCGTACCTGATGAAGGAGACGTAGTTGTGTGTATTTTGGAACGCTTATTACTGGCACTTCGTCAACCTACCAATTCTCAGCGGAATGCGATATTCCGCACACGGTGCACCATCGGTGGACGAGTTTGCGAACTCTTGATTGACAATGGGTGCACTGAAAATGTGGTCTCCCGCTCCTTGGTACAAGCCTTGCAGCTCAAGACGACGAAGAATCCTCAACCGTATAAAATCAGTTGGGTTAAAAAGGGGGTAGAAATTTCTATTTCGGACATGTGCAGAGTTAGTTTTTCCATTGGCAAAAATTATACATGTGAAGTCCTATGCGACGTTATTGATATGGACGTTTGCCACATGATTCTGGGCCGCCCGTGGCAATATGACAACGGAGATGTATATGATTGTCGCCAAAATACGTATTCCTTTGAATGGAAAGGGCGGAAGATACGGCTCCTTCCACATGTTACTGTATCGGTTGACACCTCTAACAAGAACAAAGCTGTTCTTAATATTGTGTCTGGAGCCAACTTCCTAGCAGGACAACCTTCCTACATTTATGCCGTGGTGGCTGTTGATGATCCTCCAAGCCAATCGCAAGCGATCCAGGCCCCAGAAATTGCTGCTGTAATTCAGGAGTTCGGGGATGTGATGCCCGCTGATTTACCGTCTGAGCTGCCACCAATGCGGATGATTCAACACCAGATTGATTTGGTTCCTGGGGCTAATCTGCCCAATCTACCGCATTACCGCATGAGTCCGAAAGAACATGAGATATTGCAGGAAATGATTGAAAATTTGCTGAAGCAGAAATTGATCCAGCCGAGCCTTAGCCCGTGTGCAGTGCCCGCTTTGCTTGTTCCAAAAAAAGACAATAAGTGGCGAATGTGTATTGATAGTAGAGCTATCAATAAGATCACTACCAAGTTCCGGTTTCCCGTCCCGCGCGTTGAGGAGATGCTTGATAAGCTCGCTGGATCCAAATTGTTCTCCAAGCTCGATCTCCGCAGTGGATACCATCAGATACGAATTCGTCCCGGTGACGAATGGAAGACCGCCTTCAAAACCAAGCAGGGGTTGTTCGAGTGGCGTGTCATGCCTTTTGGACTTTGCAATGCACCAGCAACTTTCATGCGGTTGATGAATGAGGTACTCAAGGATCATCTTAACCGTTTTTGTGTTGTTTATTTCGATGATATCTTGATTTACAGCCCCTCGTTCGAAGATCATGTTTAGCACCTTGTCGAGGTGTTACAGACACTTAGGACTCACCAATTGTATTTAAATGCATCTAAGTGTGAATTTGCAATGACCAAAGTCTACTTCCTGGGCTTCATTGTCTCTGCGGACGGGGTATCCACCGATCCCAGCAAGATCGCTGCAATCCGCGACTGGCCTATTCCCCGCAGCTTGTTCGACGTCCGAAGTTTCCACGGTCTTGCAAACTTCTATAGACGTTTTATTCGTGGATTCAGTATCATCATGGCCCCAATTACAGACTGTTTGAAATCTAAGCACTTCTCGTGGACCGAAGAATGCCAAAGGAGCTGGGATACAATAAAACAGTCTTTATGTGATGCTCCTGTCCTGACTCTGCCCAATTTCGACTTACCTTTTCAAGTCGACACGGACGCATCTACGGTAGGCATCGGCGCAGTATTGTCTCAAGCTGATCGGCCAGTAGAGTTTTTTAGTGAAAAGCTTAGTACCGCAAGGTAGAAATGGACTGTATATGAGCAAGAGCTTTACGCGGTGGTGCGAGCTCTGAAGCACTGGGAGCACTATTTGCTACATCAGGACTTCGTCTTGAGTAGCGACCACAAGGCTCTGCAGTTCTTAAATAGCCAGAAAACCATAAACCGAATGCACGCTCGGTGGATTCTTTTTCTTCAGAAATTCACATTCGTCCTTAAGCATAAATCCGGCAATCAGAACAGAGTGGCTGATGCACTGAGTAGGCGGACAGGTCTAGTAACACAGTTACAAACCGAAATTACAGGACTAGAATGCCTCCAAGAGCTTTATGCTGACGATCCCGATTTTGCAGACATTTGGCGACAGTGTATTGCGATGCAACCTGTTACAGAGTACTCACTCCGCCATGGATATCTTTTTAAGGGTAATGCATTGTGTATTCCAGACTCTTCGTATCGGCAGCAGTTAGTAAAAGAAGCCCATGCCGGTGGACTCGCAGCACATCTAGGCAGAGAAAAGACGATCCAGCAATTAAAAGCTCGTTTCTTCTGGCCAAAACTGCACCGCGATGTCTCCCGATTCATTGAGCGGTGTTCCATTTGTCAAGAATTCAAAGGTACCAAGCAAAATACAGGACTCTATACGCCCCTCCCCGTTCCGAATTCGATTTGGGAAGACATTAGTATCGATTTTGTTTTGGGTTTACCGCGGACGCAACGTGGAGCTGACTCCATTATGGTCGTTGTTGACCGATTCTCAAAAATGGCACACTTTGTTGCTTGTAAGAAGACTCTCGATGCCGTCAACATAGCCCGGTTATTCTTCAATGAAGTAGTTCGGCTACATGGCTTGCCACGGAGCATAACGTCCGATCGCGACGTTAAGTTTGTAAGCCACTTTTGGCGAGAATTGTGGAAGCGCCTCCATACCTCTCTCAATTTGAGCTCTGCCTACCATCCACAATCTGACGGACAAACCGAAGTTATTAATCGCACATTGGGCAATATGCTTAGATGCTTGGTACAAAATCAGCCGAAACAATGGGAGAATGCACTCAGTCAGGCGGAATTTGCATTCAATTCAATGCCTAACCGTTCTACCGGGCAAAGCCCCTTCGCCATTGTCTACACGAAGGCTCCTAACCACCTCTTTGATATTGCAGTTTTACCGAAATGTGCTAACAAAGCTGCTACTGTTTTGACAGATCAGTGCCAGGCCGTTCTCGACGAAGTGCGTACGAAGCTCATTTCGTCTAACTCTTCATATAAGAAGGCAGCTGATGTCCACCGACGCCACATCACATTCCAACCAGGCGAACTTGTACTTATTCGGCTTAGCAAAGATCGTTTCCCTGTTGGAGCATATTCCAAGCTAAGCCCCCGCAAGTTCGGTCCAGTACCTATACTCCGCCGCATAAACGACAATGCATACGTCGTGGGACTACCAGATCATATGAAGACCTCCAACACCTTCAATGTAGCTGACATTTTTCCTTATCATCCCCCTGACGATCCGGGGCCAGCTCACATTCAGGTAGAACCTGAATTTTCGACAGCCGGAGGCACCTGATGTGGTACCAGTTAACATAGTCGTGATGGAGAACACCAGATTTCTGCAACGGTTTTGTCCACCGTGGCCACTTTCCTCTGCTCTTTTAACAGTCCTGCAATCCACTAGTTTTATAATTATTAAGCTTTAGTTATTACCGTAATACCCTTAGTTTCCTGTTGCTTTTTGTAGTAGACGCCTGTAATGTGAGGTGGAAGCAGATTTTATCAAATTATCAAGTTACTGTTCCATTGCTTTGTGCGTGTTGTATTGTGGTTTTCAGTGCAGATTCCGGTGAAACCTCCGGTTCCACACCACCATCCCATGTATTTTGGAGTGCTCTGGAATACTGCCAAGGATTATTTTTCTGCTGCAACTTCAGTATCTTTGGTTGTTTCCGGTGGAGGTGTTTTTACAATCTGACAATGATGAGCAAGGCCTTTCCCATCTTCTATTGCCACGGATGGCTTACTAGGCAACCTGGCGTAGAATTCAAATTCTAGTCGGCGGCTAGCGGTTCTGCGACGGCCTATCTCCTTTTCAGCAGCTCGTTTATGTGAGGCTTTATATGGCAACCGGAGCCACCACCGCGACTTCGTGGGTTTAATGCTGATCTCTTGATGATTGGGGTTTGGTCTTATTTTTCTGAGTCTTCTTGATTGTAATCACCTCCACTTGCCTCTCTGTTTTGGCTAGCTGGGAGGATTTTCCTTAGATTAGCTGTTCCTTTTCTATTTTACCTTTACAGGTTTACTTGTAATAGCTCTTTCATTTTAATATATGGGCTTCTTTAGCCCCGGGTTTACCCAAAAAAAAAAAACTTTAGCAATTTGAAGCACAACACTTTTTTTATGTTTTGATGCTTTCATCTCAATTTTCCCATCATATCAAATTCTATCACGTCAGTCATCTTCCACTAAAACAAAAGCTTTTCACACCAATAAATATAAGGCAACAAGAGCCACTCAAATCATAGAACCTTATTGGGATGCAAGTAAACAATGTAACAAAACAAACAAGAAAGTAAAGGCAACGATAAAGGGAGTCAAGATTTAATGTGGAAAAATTCAAAATCAGAAAAAAATAAAAAAGGTGCACCACACCAAGAAAGTCAATATGAAAATTAATAGAAATATCAAATAAGTACATATCTCTCTTCTCTCTTACTCTCACTCTTTCCTTGCTTTTTCTCTTAAAAAGTATTAGCTCCTATAGCTCAAGCCCTCGTTTAAAAAGTATTAGCTCCTATAGCTCAAGCCCTCGCAAAAAGAAAAAAGTAATTATTTTTCCAACAACTTGTATATAATAATTGTAAATTCAACTCTCACATCACTTCTAACATTTCATATGCACATATCTGGCTAATGTGCAGAAGTACTGCAACTCCTGATCTCCATCCTACTTTTATTCTGAAATTTATATTAAAGCAACTCAAATAAAATCCGAATCTTGTTGATCTGATACCACAAATAATTCAGTTGTAGCAATGAGGAGTCTCCCTTATCTCTCAAAATAAAGTATCAGCTCTCAACACCACAGAGTTCAGAACCACAAAAGCGAACACAAAGTTGCTTCTTTTTTTATTCTGGTATGGACCATCAGCCTTCCCTCTCAGCAATTATTCACAAAGTTGCAGCTATTGATGCGTATGTGTGTGTATATACCTTCAAATCATATCAGATTTTTTTTTTTTGGGGGAAAATATCAGAATATTTAATGCTCAGCACGCAGTACTTGCATATGGAGGAAGCAGATAGCTATAAAGACTATTATGGTTTAATGGTTTCTTATGCTCCTGTGAAAATGCATGGCATGATTAAGCATGGAAAATAGCTCAATATAGAACATTTTATGACATGGATTAAACGCCGGAATACGTTAATGGAAAGATGCCGTTTTCCCATCATTTTCTGCAGGCATTTCGCCGGAAATGTATCCGGCGAAAAAACTTCGCCGGATTTCATTTTCCGACGCACGAATTACTGTCGGATCATTTTTCGTCAGAAAAAGAAAAATTCCGGCTGTTTTCTTTTGTTACCGGCGGATTTGATCCGCCGATAACAGAGCATTTTCAGCTTATAAATTGTTTAATTTATTTGAATGGCGCTATATATGGGACCATTGCTAGTTTAGATTAAGCTTTAATTAACTTGAACTTGAATAAACTCGTTTAAATTTTAAGTTTTTTATTATTAAGACTATTATGTGTTGCGTCCTGGAGTATTCGCGACGGTAGAGAAATATTTAGTTTAACGTCTTAGCATTGTACGAAGATCCAGCACACAAATAGATAAGTGAGAGAGTGTAGCTTTCATAAGAGACACCAAAGTTTTTACGTGGAAAACTCCTAAAAATGGGGAAAAATCACGGGGTCTGGCCCAGTTTGAATGAATCCACTAGTATTTGCAGTCGATTACAAATGAGGCCCTTCCTTGGGATATGCACATATCTGGCTAATGTGCAGAAGTACTGCAACTCCTGATCTCCATCCTACTTTTATTCTGAAATTTATATTAAAGCAACTCAAATAAAATCCGAATCTTGTTGATCTGATACCACAAATAATTCAGTTGTAGCAATGAGGAGTCTCCCTTATCTCTCAAAATAAAGTATCAGCTCTCAACACCACAGAGTTCAGAACCACAAAAGCGAACACAAAGTTGCTTCTTTTTTTATTCTGGTATGGACCATCAGCCTTCCCTCTCAGCAATTATTCACAAAGTTGCAGCTATTGATGCGTATGTGTGTGTATATACCTTCAAATCATATCAGAATTTTTTTTTTTGGGGGAAAATATCAGAATATTTAATGCTCAGCACGCAGTACTTGCATATGGAGGAAGCAGATAGCTATAAAGACTATTATGGTTTAATGGTTTCTTATGCTCCTGTGAAAATGCATGGCATGATTAAGCATGGAAAATAGCTCAATATAGAACATTTTATGACATGGATTAAACGCCGGAATACGTTAACGGAAAGATGCCGTTTTCCCATCATTTTCTGCAGGCATTTCGTCGGAAATGTTCAGGCGAAAAAACTTCGCCGGATTTCATTTTCCGACGCGCGAATTACCCTCGGATCATTTTTCGTCAGAAAAAGAAAAATTTCGGCATTTTTCTATTGTTACTGGCGAATTTGGTCCACTGATAACAAATCATTTTCAGCTTATAAAATGCTTAATTTATTTGAATGGCATTATATATGGGACCATTGCTAGTTTGGATTAAGCTTTAATTAACTTGAACTTGAATAAACTCATTTAAATTTTAAGTTTTTTATTATTAAGACTATTATGAATCAAAACTCGAAACTAAAATTTCTTAATTGATAATAAAAACTTTCGACCAAGAGATCAACATGAGCTGTATATTCAAGATTTAAGTGACCAAGGCTAACAATGAAGTCAAATCGAAAATAATATAGCTACAACTTTATGGATTCTCAGCCTGCAAATTGATCAGATGATTACAAAATTGTCCACCACCCTTCTTTTTTTTTCTTTAAAGTCTTATCATGCATAAAATCCTATCTGATGACGCCACTGACTTAGACTGGTTTTATGCTTATCTTTCCACGTGGCATTTGTCAATTAGTTATTCAATAGGGTCCACAGCTATATTGGGTCCCACTCTCTCCCTCTTTTGTACATATTCTTGTATGTCCATTGTCCATCAGCTTTTGCTTTGGTGATTGGGTATTTGAATCCCATGGAATGGAAGTAGGTAATGGCTTCCAAGATGGCCAGCTAACTATTTCATGGTGAAGTTGTCTTATCAATCGTTTTAAATTTTGTTTTATATTGAAAAGGATCATCATGCGTGTTCTTATGGATGATGAGTGGACTGCATAATTAGCTAAACATCAAGATTAGTGTTGATGTACATGTTAATATGTATTATAGTACTGGTAGAATAAGAATTTCAAGGGAGAGGAAGGAAATCAAAAAAAAATCTTCTTGCTAGTAATGCAAGAAGCTAGACAATAACTTTAAAAAATATATATTATAAGAGTTAATGCATAAATTTGATGTAAGAGAGATTTGAATTCAGAATCTTGATAGATTTATTATCAATCATGCTATTGATATTTAGATTTTAAAAAAACTACAGATATTTTTTACATAAAGTGGTCTAGCTAACTATCTTTGTAACTTTAGCATCAAGTTGTTCCCAAAGTTTTCTATTATCAACCACCACTACTTTAGAATCCGAAATCAAAATCTCTCTCTCTCTCTCTCTCAAATATAATTCTCTCTATAAAAGGCCTTCCCCTTTTTAAGACATAAATTTTATACCCAGAGAGAAGAAAGAAGAGGTAAGAGCTCTCTTTGCAAAACAAAAATAAACTCTTGAGGGTTTTGTATCTTATACAATTATATATTTTTCTTATTAAATTGCAGTGTCACCTTTGAGGCACAAACCAATCAATAATGGTTGAGGTAACAGGCCATATTGCTTTAGAATTCCCCAATTTAGAAAATAAATCATTGTTCTACTCCCATGAAGACCTTTTTGTTTTAACTCATTTGCTCATCAATTAGTTTCTTTGATAGAAATTAATTTTTTTCATGATTTGTGTATTTTTGACATCAATTAATCAGATTATTTAATCTGAGTTTCTTTTTTCTCTTATTATGCATAATTTTTATTTAAAGAAACAAAAGGAAGAGGGAGAAAGTAAGAATGAGGTGAAGGAGAAGAAGAAAAAGGAAGAAGAGCCACAGGAGATTGTTCTCAAGGTTGATATGCACTGTGAAGGATGTGCTAGGAAAGTCGCCAAGTCTTTGAGAGGGATTGAAGGTTCTTTATTTCCCTATTTAATTTCATATTTTTTCTTACTCATATAAAATGATGCAAAGGTAATTAGAAAGCGTATTAATTAAGTTATTTTATGCTTATCAACAAACCTTGTTTAGTTTATGATAAGATTATAGTGCCTAAAATGATAATATGCTTATATGATAAAGAAGTATTAGCAACCTTTATTGCTTTTGAAAAGAAAAGCATGAAAATATGAGAAAAATAGTTAAAATGTTAAAATGAATTCATGGCATGATGAATTATAAGATTTTCTTATGATAGAGCTTTTGAAATGATTTTAAAATAATTTTCACTACCTCTAACTTTCACATTCTTTCAGCATCATCTTTATATATTATGTCAAATAAAGATGCAATACTAATAAATCAAGTTTTCGCAGCACTTTGCAGCGTTTTAAACACCTAATATATATATCAATATCCTATTATCTATTGTTGCACCTTTCATATATGATAAATCCTAACAATAATATTAAAAATGATTCTAATTTTTGTGATGTAAAAAGCATTACTCTAAGTAGTAGTATTGCAAATATTTAGGAGGAATTAAGTGACTCTCCCAGAGGCAGAGGGTCTTATTACTCCATAAAATTATCTTGTTATTTAAGAAGAATTGTCTTGTATTCTGAGCTAAGATGTTAGGAACCATGAAAGCCTCCTTCCCTTTCGAATCAACCATAATTAATTCGCTTCATCAAATGCAAAATTACAGGAGTTGAGGAAGTAAAGATAGATAGCAAGGCAAGAATGGTGGTGGTGAAGGGAAAAACTGCAGATCCACTTAAAGTATGTGAGAGAGTTCAGAAAAAGACTAGAAGGAAGGTGGAGATAATTTCTCCTCTCCCCAAACCACCAGCGGAGGAGAAGAAGGAAGAGGCCAAAGAGGCACCACCCGAGGAGAAGAAAGAGGAGGTAGTTCAAATGTATGTTTTCTTAATGTTTTAAAATTACAAAATAAAAATACCAGTTGAATAGATTTATAAGGTGATTATTTTATTTTTTTTCTCAGCCAATTTTCTCCTTTAGAATTGTGTTGGTGCAATCTTTTATGCTTATGTGTTGAACCGCAAGAACCTGAGCGAGAGCGGAAAGACAGAACAGAGAACAAGAAATGGACAAGAGGAAATGAATCTTGTTATTACTCATCATGGTTACATTAGTATAAATAGCAGTTTATCATAGCAGACTGTACACGTGTAGCTAGGTAATTGGTGTGCAGTAATAATATGAATCAGCTAATCTAATTGAAATGCTTAAGGCTCTAATATTATGGAATTCATTATTTCTCATAATTTGTTTATGTCTGTCTTCAAAAAACAGCCAAAGCCAATTACTGTAACTTTAAAGGTTAGGATGCACTGTGAAGCATGCGCCCAAGTTTTGCAGAAGAGGATAAAGAAGATAAATGGTATGTTATTGTGCTCTGAATAATCATGCAGAGCTCTTAATTTGCCTTCAATTGTACTATTGATCTGAATTTTCTTATTATAATCTCAGGTGTAGAATCAGTGGAGACAGATTTTGTAAATGAGCAGGTGACAGTCAAAGGATTTGTGGATCCAACAAGTTTGATCGAGGATGTATATCGAAGAACAAAAAAACAAGCTTCAATAGTCCCAATGGAAGAAAAGAAAGAAGAAGAGAATAAACCTTCAGAGGAAAAGAAGGAAGAGAAGTCTGAAGAGGAGAAGAAAGAAGAAACAAAGGAAGAGGATGATGGTAAATTCAATGCCAAAAAACTTGAATATTTGCCCCCAAAGTTGTTCTTGGAATATGCCTATGCTTACCCACCTGAAATATTCAGTGATGAGAATCCGAATGCTTGCTGTATTGTGTAATTATTAGTGACTTAGAGAGCATAAAGACATCAGATATATATGTATGAATGGTTATGCATAATATTGTGGCTTTAGAGCTTTGAACTTCATTATCCTTTTTATATGTTAATAAATAATATGAAGTTTGTGTTGAGGCATATGAGAATATTGAGTTTAATTTTTTAGATGGTTGAAAGATATAATATTATAGAAATGGAAATTAATTGGCATTCATTAATTTATAGTTTTTTTTTTAAGATGAAGTTGACAATCATGAATAATTTTAATTATTTGATTATATACTCCCTAATATATAATGTGCTTGGTTTGAAGAAATTGGAGCAATATTGCAAATGCATTTACTTGATTGTTTTAATAATGTGTTTGATTAAAAGATGGGCAATTAATTGGATTAACTAAAAAATATATATATGAATAAATAATTTTTCATTAGCAATTTCTTAATCAACCTTAATGACAAATACGAAGAAAGATTAATAAGATCATCATTATGCTTTATGCCTTCACACAAACCTAAAAAGAAAAGTATTTTCACTCAAACAAATAAATATGTAAAACATTTTTTTATTGCTTCTTAAAATAATTTTTTAATTCAAATATTAAAGTTTTTATTAAAAAAATACTTTAAAAAACAATAAAAATACATGCCAGGCATGTTGTCGCCCATTCTTATTTTTAAAGTAAAAAAAACATACCTATTTTTCTTTCTAAAAAAGTAAAGAATAATTTTTAAAACTATTATGTTTTAACAAATAGAATAATAATATTTTATTTCTCACAAAAAAATTTCTAAAAGTTAAAAAAATCATTCCAAATGAACACAAACAGCATTTCCTATAAATTTCATCGGTTCATCCATTGGAGAAATTATTCTGTGCGGAGACCGGACAGAGAACGTCGTCCAAAGACCAATTAAAATACGTCATGTTAGCGGTACTAAGTGGCAGTAAGCAATATCAAGCTGCGATACCAAACAAAGGGGTGACGTGACACATTCTGATTGGTCTTTAGACGGCATTCGACGTCTGCACAGAATAATTAATTCATCCATTGAGTGATGTCCAACACATCAAAGAAAAAAGTAGCATCAGTAGTTTCAGACCTGAGAGCTTTTCTTGCATCAACGAAAGAAGGCAACAACGAACGTATCCATATAAAACTATCAGATCCATCGTTATACTTTACACTTGAAAATTTTGAATTCGAATGATTTTACATTGAGAAACTTAGGCGCATTCCTCCAGGGCTTTGATTGTTTTACTCAATAGTAGATGAATTTTAAGGGTTACAATAGGCACTACTGCTCCACTGGCCATAGCTTCCTAGCATTTTGCAGAAAGAGGCCTTAAGCGCGAACAGCAAAGCTATATTCTATATGTAAATAAACAATTGAAAATTGGAAGCCATGGCGTCTTTATAAGTTTATCTGGTCTCCACAGACGATGATAATGACGACTTTGAGTTTGCCGTACCATCTCTATCGGTTTGATTAAGCTCTACTTTTGATTTCTGAAATTAAAAAAAAAAAAAATACAGCTTAGGGATGAATTTAAGATAAACAAAAAATGCCATTCTGTATGTATAAGATGTATAGATTTGTTAGAAGAACAAAAATGAGATGTAATCATAAGAAATCATAGAAGATATAAAGATTTTAAGTGATTTGGGGATTGATCCCCTTATATCCAACGATGTGTTGAATTCCCCATTTTTGTTATTATATATATAATTACATGGGGTAGTGTGCCATTTAAATGTTAGAGAATTATAACTAAAAAAAACAATCTCATATGGAATTTTTTTCAAATCTGATTAGCCTTAATTTGGAAGGCTTTGATGGCTCATCAATTGATTAGGGAGTTGATTATTTTCCTAATTAAATTGATTTGATTGGAGATTTGATTGATGCATTAATTAGGATATTTGATTGATGCATTAATTAGGAGAATTATTATGAAAGATTTAATTAACATGATTGGAAAATCTAATTGACATGATAAAATTTTGTCATATTATAGCATTAATAATTAAATTTTCCCTTGTAGCTTTGTTTCAAATCATTTGCTCCTCATGAACGTAGCCATTTTTGTCGAACCACGTAAATCACTGTGTTGTTTGTGTTATGTGATTTTTTATTTTTATTTCCACTGTGTTTATTCCACAGCAATTGGTATCAGAGCCGGATTTAGGTGAGATTTTCGATAGCATTTTGAAGAACGGGAATCTTTGAAACTTCATCTGGTCATATCGAGCAAGCAAAGGCTATTGATTTTTGTTCTGGATTGCTGCTAAGCCGGATTGGTGCAATTTCAGTGTCGTAAGGCAACTGTAATTTGTGGAGGCATTGAAATCCGGTGGAGTCATAGATACATCCACCTCAACGATGGAGAAGATGTTGATTCATCAGGTGGTTACACATCCCGTTAAAACTGATATGACAAATTTTGAATATAAAAGAAACTCTAGCATATGGCGATGTGAGGTGATGAATGCGCTGTGCTCTTTGAGTATTTAGGAAGTTCTGGAGAGCGGTGAACGTCCTAAAGATATTTCAGAGAGATTGGCTAAAGATGAATCAGAGCACTTGTGGCTTGATAAAAAATTAGGATATCGAGTATGGAATGATGATTGAGACTTTTGCGGTGAAATTGTGGAAGATTTTGGAGAATAAGTACCTACGAAGAGCTTCGACAATCGTCTTAATATGAAACAACGGCTCTACATACTTCAAATGAGACATTATATTACAATTGATGAGCATTTGAATGACTTCACAAAGTTGTTGGCAGATCTTTTGAATTTGGATAAGGAGGTTAAAGATGAAGATAAGGCGATTTGTCTATTGAATTCGCTCCCAGATGAGTATGAAAACTTCAAGATGACACTCATTCAAGAATGAGGTTTTAAACTATAGTAAATGACTACTACATTGTTGAATCACGAGTTCCGGTGTCGGGACAAGTAATCTAAAAAGTTGAATTTGGACGAGGCTCTCACACTTCAACGTGGAAGATCTAAAAAGCAAAAGAATAAAAATGAAAGCAGCAGCAAACAGGGCAAGTCTCGTGGGCACAGTCTTGGGAAGAATCAGTGTGCTTTCTGCTTATAGATTAGTCATTGGAAGAAAGATAGTCTGATGCTGAAGGACAAGAAAAAGGGAGTTTCCACTGAGGCTAAGGAAAACCTTAGAGTGGAGGAGCGTGATGAAGATTTAGATGCATCAGTATCTACATTTTCTCATAATTTGTATTCAGATGGTTCATGTTGGATTTTAGATATTGATGTGACCTATCACATATGTCCATTAGAGAGTGGTTTAGTACCTAAAGGGAGCTTGATAATGGTGTTGTGACCACATGAAATGATCAGACTTATCGTACAGTTGATGTAGGGAGCATCTTCATTAGAATGCTGACTACTGTGAAACATGTTCTAGATTTTAGAAAGATTCTTTACTGTCTGTTATGGCTTTAGAGACAAAGGGCTACTACAAGATAGTTATTGAGGTAGGAGTTCTGAAGATATATTATTGTACGATAACTTTTCTGAAGGGAGTTCGTCACCACAATCTTTATTATCTTCAGAGAAAAACTATAATTAGAACAATTGTTGTTGCTAGTAATTCATCTGATGCTAGTACATTGTGGCATATGCAGTTAGCTCATATTAGAGAGGCTACTCTTATGGCTTTGGTGAAGCAAGGAATGATCAAAGGAGCAAACACCTATAAACTCAATCTCTATGAACATTGTGTGTCTGGCAAGAAGACAAGTGTATCCGTTGGTACTGTCATCTACAATACATAGGGTATCCTTGAGTATGTTCACACAGATGTCTGAGGCCTAATGAAGATAACATCATTAGGCGGGCGACGAAACTTTGTCTCTTTTATTGATAATTACTCCAAATATATTTGGGTGTATGCCATGAGACGCAAGAACTAAGTGCTGGAGATTTTCAAAACTTGGAAGAAGTGGATTGAGACTCAGACTGGCAAAAGTATATGGTGTATCAGATCAAATAATATGGGCGAATACACTTCGAATGCATTCTTGCAAGTGTCAGAGATCTGGGATAGAGCATCACTTGACTGTTAGAGAGATACCACAGCAGAACAAGGCGACGGAGAGGATGAACCGGACTTTGGTAGATAAAGTTCGATTTATGTTATCCAATGCTGGGTTGGATAGAATCTATTGGGCTGAGGAGATAGACTATACCTATCACTTGGTGAACCATCAACCTTTTACAACTATTGAGAAAAAGACCCCAAAGGAGATGCAGTCAAGGCATTCTGCTAGAATTTTGAAACAATTGAAAGTATTTGGGTGTCCAGCTTACTATTATCATCAGAATTATAAAATGGAATCAAGAGCAAAGAAGGCGATCTTTATTAGCTTCAGACGTGAAGTCAATGGCTTCAAACTCTATGATCCAACAGAGAAAAAAAATGTGTCATTAGCAGGGATGTTACTTTTAACGAGGCAAGCATGTTAAAGCCTTAGGACTCGAAGCAGGTCGAGAGTTCTATTAGGATTATATATGCAATGTAGAAATTGGAGTTTGATGCAACTCCATTTGTTCCATAAAAGCTTATCATTTCTACTCAGGTACTTGATTCAATTACATATCAGGAAGTAGAAGATGATGTTGAGGATGAGATTCTTGCTTAAGAATCTATTGTGAGGAATAGAACCATGCACCAGAATAGCCCAAAACTAGTTTGGTTGAGGGATCACATTGCATTTGCACTTTCAACCACGGAGGCTGAAGTTCATATTCACTATAAGGAAGCAATGGACAGTCTTAATGGTGATCTTTGAAAGAGAGTTATGGATAAAGAGATAGAGTCTCTTTAGAAGAATGCTACTTGGAAGTTGATAAATATTCCTCCAGAAAGAAAATCTATTAGATACAAATGGGTGTGTGCAAAGAATGATCTAATGGAGCTGATGTGTGGTACAAGGCTAGGTTGGTGGCAAAATGCTCTGTGCAATGGGAAGGGATTGCTTATGATGATGTGTTCTCCCCAGTGGTTAAGTATCCCTCGACCCGTGTTTACTTGGCACTTGTGGATTGTAGCATAATATGGTATAATTTTGGAGCAGCTCGATGTGAAGATTGCATTCATACACGGAGAATCGCAGGATGAGATCCGCATGTTACAGCCGTCTGGATATGGAGCCTCAAAAGACTTGATTTGCAGATTGGACAAGCCTTTAATTGGAGTAGTGAGCAAGTTCACCTACTGTAGGAGTTTGGTGACCAATGACTAGCAGTGGATGGCGATAGGGGGTGGCGGGCAACAGCCCAAATTGCAATGGCAAATAATTTATAATGCATTTGGAACTCGACCAAAAATATAACAATTTTCAAATACACCAAAAATTGAAATATATGGTGATTTTCAAATGCTTCAAAAATTTACTCTACATTTTTTTTACTTGAAATCAAACACTAATATTTTTAAAATCCTTGCATTTGGAATACTTTAGCCCCTAAGTCAGCCACCACTAAGACTTCTCACAGAACTAAAGTCATCATAATTATCATGATCACTAGCTTTCTACCAATAATCTGGGGTCAAGTTAATAAATGCCCATTTTCTCATAGATCTTAAATGGAAAATTAAAAAATATTAAAGAAAAAGAAGCTAGAAATGCTACACTGAGCTGCAATGATTTAAAAAGATTTGAAGGGTTTGGGATGCAGGCAAAAACGTCAAAGCTATTGTCTCATCCATCTCATATCAGCTTTATAGATTATATTTCTCCATGATTCTTAACCACGACACATACTCTCTCAAGTTTTTCATCGCAATTAAAATTGTTACTTCAGTAACAAAACTGATTCAGAGTTACACAACCATAACAATAAATTACTAAAATCATTGAATCACCTGCTGAAGGTTTAGAGTGAAAAAAAGACTAAGCAGAAGGAGAAACATTGAATAAACTTTATAATAGAGGCTGACCCAAGTTTAGTATTCACATATCATGTGGAATATTGAGAAGAAAATAAATCAGCAAAAAAAAAAAAAAAGAAGTAGCCATTCTTTCCCAAACTTGTGAAAAGAAAAGAAATAAAATGAGGTGGCCTGCATTGTTACATCTTGAATTAGAAGAGGGTGGTCGGATAAAGGAAGGAAGAGATCACCGACCTGGTCCGAACAAAGAGCAAATCTTGATATACTTCTAAGATGTTAAACTTCTAAGAGAAAAGGGGTGCAAGGATGAACAAAATCCCACATCATAAGCGGGAAATTAACTAGGAGAAGCTGCTAGCCGGAAAGCCAAGTTTGAAAAGTTAGTGAGGGGCCATAGTTTTTAGACTTGCATTGAGGATGTCGTTGAGGCATAATCTAAGACAATGATAGTCATTCTAGAGGGTGCTAGTTACAATCCGGTTGACAAGCTGAGAGGTTGTTAGGAAGTTAGCAACCTAAACAAGTATTTCTTATTAGAAATTCTCTAGAGATGGGTGCATCTTTCTAGGGCATGGTCTCAGGTCAAGTTACTGACTTCAATCAGTCTTCGGGAAGCACTTCAAGGTGATCCCTATTCTTTGAGGCTCTCAGCAAGTCAACTGCTTTCAATGTGTATACTTCTGAGTTCCGACATTATTTGAAAAAGTTCATGTAAAAGCCCATCGTACCTCCCGCCCACTTTTATTGTTTTGCAGCAACATAAAAAATCTCTCACACCTATCTAAATATTGTACCCCTCTCATGGTTTTTTATCCACTCTAAAGTAAAGAGAACTTGCAACAATTTCTAAGTAGGCGTGAAAAAAGGAATTTGAGTTTGCAAGATACATTAATAATCTTAAGTTGAACCTCATCCATTTTTTGATAATTCATACATCTTTCATTGTTTGATGTTTTACCAATATCAATTTACATGTTCTCTTTGCACCACCGAAGTTGCAAACTATTCTGTCAAAACCGGGTCACGGGTCGGGTTCGGGTTCAACCTGAAATTGACCCGACACTGTTCAACCCGACCCGTTTTTGCAAACGGGTTGGTTTTCCGAACCCGAACCCGACCCGCTTCGGGTCCGGTTCAACCCGATTCGGGTATATTTTATTAATTTTTTTATTTAATTCAATTTATTTAAATCTAAATCAAATTAAGGTAAGATTTACTTCAATTAATTTAAAATAAATCAAGATTAATTTAATTTGGGCAATAATACTTATAATTTTTTGAAATATCATTTACTTATTTCATAAAAATCCATTAAAACCCTCCTAAATTAATTAAAACAGGTCAAATCGGGTTGATTTCGGGTTTCCAGGTCAACCCGAACCCAACCCGGTTTTACAAATGGGTCGAAATCCCTAACCCGAACACGACCCGATTCGGGTTCGGGTCCGAAATTTTTGGGTCAGGTTCGGGTCAGATTTTCGGGTCGGGTCAAATATTGACACCCCTACTATTCACACCCTCAAGCTCTATCATCACCAAGGATACTTGTCATTGTCTCTTCATCCTAGTTGCTTTAGTCCCGCATCATCCAAAATATCATCTACAATGATCAACTTGCCATGAAATTCAAAGCCAAGATGAAACCGCTCATTATCTTGCCTCACTTAACATGCACACAAACGCACCCGCCCACCTACCCATATTGGTATCATAATCTCAAAGATATCATCAACTCAAATATATCATCAAAGGAATGGCTGACTCTCTGCAATGTTTAATGAACTTGCAACAATTGAAATCTAAAATAAAGAAAGTTAAAGATAACACAACTTAATTTATTACAATGCCACAACTCAAAATAGTTGCTAGAATATTTGCACCTGCTATTCTGCTTTAAAACCACATTACACTAGAATACAGGAAATCATATTTGTCGTAAATGTGTTGTTACTTCACTTAAGATTAGTTGTAATTTAATACCCTCCAACTACATCCCAACATCCACCCTAATCCTCTTCTAGAGACAAATGCTTGCTCATTAATTCCTCCCACAACTGCCTTTGTCAAACTAGCACGTTCGATGAATACTTAACTAATAACTTTTAAGAATTCAATCATCACATACCTTTTCTGTGAAATGGAAGAACTTAGTAGCAGCTAAAAGGGAAACGAAAGAACATAAGAGGCAAGTATAGAACCATAACTCCAGATCCGAAATAATTAATTAAAGGAATAAGCCACATCGGCTAAACTACCTTGGACTTGCGAGGCGGCGGTTCAAGATCGACCATCCTCATGGACATCCGGGCGATTTCGGTTACTGCTGCGTCCCGCACTTGTCCGTCATCGCTGACAAGGTCCTCATATGCGGCCTCAAAGGCGTCCTGCCAGAAACGCGGTAATCGAATCCGCTGGCTGTGCGTGTACACGTCCCACATATGCCTCACAACCTTCTCCCTCTCCTCCACTTCCTGCAAACCCGGCAATCCATTCAGATAGAGAGATCGAAATACAGTAGAGTAATCAAATAAAAGTTGAGGATAGCTAGGGTTAGGATAGAACCAGCACGTCAAGATCTTCCTGGGATAATGAATCACCGGAGATTCCGTTGAGGTTTCCGGCGGACCACTTCAGCGTGACAGTGCCGGCGAGCATAGACCAGAAGGCGAGGAGAAGAATGGCAGCGAGGGCCCAGAACTTATACCGGCTCCGATAGAAGAGTCCCGCTTCCGTGGCGGTCTTTCCGGCGGCGGAAGTAGCCGCCGACGCGTGGATTAGATTCCACTCCATCTCCTCAGGGAAATGGAGACCGCGTGGAGTGACTAGTGAGGTAAGTCTCGCGTTTCTCCTTTATTCACAAAAATACCAAGATAATTTTTTGATAGAAAATATTTTATTACTAATTTAGTTATTTTTTTTTGCCAATTCCCTTGCACAGTAAAGTTGCGGTTTGTGAGCATTTTTTGGTTACAAATATCTCGTGTAAATAGCTACTAAAGCTTTATTGGGACAATTTATTTATTATTTTTAATAAATTTTTAATAAAAAACTTTTATTCTAAAAAAATTATTTCAAAAAACAATAAAAATTAATCCCAAATATTCAAAATACTTCTTTATCCTTTTATTTTTAAGATCACAATTATATATATCTGAATGAATTTTTTTCTGAAACAATTTAAAAAAAATATTTTTTTTCATAACTTTTTTATTTTTTATAAAAAGATACAACAATTTTAAACAAATTTAAAATATTTTATCTTCTTCGTATGAATTTATGATATATTTAAATGATTACTTAGGTACCCTTAAAAAATAAGAGTTTAAATAATAGTGAATATTGGGACAATGGATATTAAGTTATTTTATCTATATAATTATTACAAATGTCCTTTGTTATCTTCAAAGGAAAGTATTTTTAAGTTAGTTTATATAGCTCATTTTAGTCAGTTGGTTGAAAGCTTAGGCTACCAACCAAGAGATCTTAATTTTGAGACCTGTGTATGAGACGTGTATGTAAATCTATCTTAATTGATCTAAAATATCCCAAAAAAGGAGAGTATTTTGTACATACACATCAATCAAATTAATGTGTGCTAAAAATTGAGTTATATAGATTGATTATGATCATTTTAACTTTGGCAATCTCAAATAAACAAGTAATCAAATAAATGAAGAGCATGGCTTATTCTTTTTTAATGTCAAAAAACTTGCAATGTCTTTAAAATAGCTTTTTGACTAAAGCAACACATCTAAGTAATTGAAAAGCACATCTATTACAAGTACAGTCATAGTGAGCGCCACCATTAATTTTTGTCCTGTTCTTTTAAATGAGAGCACCATGAGAAATTATTCTTTGCGGACTCCGAATGTAGAGTATCGTCCGGATAATACTTATAGATTGCGTATGAATTGAGTATAGACTGCCTATGAACTGTGTATTTATAAATATGTAGCAAATAATAAGTCAATCATTAGTTGTGAGTATTTATTGAATATTTAATGAGTATTTAATACATATCTATAAAACGCAATAAATATGCAATCCATATGCAGTCCATACTCAATTCATACGCAGTTCATACATAGCATCTGGATGATCCTATACGTTCAGAGTCTGCACAGAATAATTTCCCGAGCACCAGCATTCGTTTATTGTGCTAATCTTCCAACCCCAGCGCAGTCCCCTCAAATCAAAGTAAAAAGCAAGAAAAGAATTATTCATTTCTTCAATAATTTTATCATTTACAAATGATATCTATTAATTCTTTTTAGATTTTATTTTTAATTTTTTTTAATTTAAATTTATCTATGATGACATTGAAATTTTACTGACAAGAATTGATCGAACAAAAGAGAACATAGCGAGAAATGTTCTGAAATTTTACTCTATTTATATGCTTGAATTCATGTTCAGAATTATAGGGGGGAAAAAAAAAACTACAACTAAGCAATACAAATGAAATTACATAAAAAGTCTTAACAAGTGCTTGCCATTAAAATAACAAGTTGAAGCAAAGTTCATGTTGCCTTTACCTAGAAGTAGCAAGTTCAAAGGAAGCCTTCGACGACTTCATTGTAGGCTAGGAGGAAGTTTCAAGTCCTGAGCAAATTTATTTGGCGACTTCGCCAACTAGCCTTAGCGAGGTTGCCCAATAACCTTGTTGATTTCAGTGATCTTGATGCCAAGTATGGTTCAAACTATACAGCTTTCACAACTTGAACTCTCTAGTCAGATCAACATATACTTTGCCGGCTTCTTATGTGTGGGAAATTAACCCTCTTTACTTGGCTACAATAACGACCTTACTCGACCTAGGCAGCATTGGATATACATAAATAGAATGAGGAAAAGTCACCTACAACATATAATCATTCATTTTATTCTGCTGTGTAAGATATAAAATAAGCATTAAAAAGGGAAAATTTAACAAACAAGTTATTGAAGGCACTCTTTCAAAAGTAAAAACTTCTTATTAATCTATGAAAACTTCACGGTTTCCTCATTTGCATCATTGATATATCACCCATAATGTGTTGCAGGTATGCTTGTTCATTATTCAGTTCTAACATATCCATTTCTTCACTGATCTACTACATCAGTTGGTATCATAGCCTTGAGCTTGTGAAGAAATGGATCTGCTAATAGGAACTCCCAAATTTAGAGAAACAAACTAAGTTAAAAACTTTAAATCATATAATATTCTTCCTCCCTTTTTTCCTGCAACCTTCTATACATAATATATTAAAAGAGATTCCTAGAATTTTTTAGAAAAATATGTAACAAACTAGATTTATTATTCCTATGGAATAATTTAACTAAAATGTTCCACATCAAGTAGTATGATGTAAAGAATACAATATGCGGATGTTGGAAAAAAAAGTCTATATGGATCAACCACCTATATTTGATAGTTTAGTCACAAATAATCAAGTGTGCAAATTAAAAAAAAAAGCTTTTACATGGCCTTAAACAATTTTTGAGAGAATTGTCTTCACAAAGTTATTAATGAAGCTTGATATAAACAAAGCCAACGAAACTATGCACTCTTCATAAAACACTCCAACGATGATAAAATCTTTATCATCATCATTTATGTCAACGATATAATTGTCACAAGTAATGAAAATAGAGAAAATAAATCTCTAAGGAAAAAACTTGTTGATGAATTCGAGATCAAAGAGTTTGAATTTTTGTGCATAACAAGTCATTTACCAACTGTCTCTGCCAAAGCAACATTTTGCATTTCGAATAAACGATGGCACATCACTGCAAAAGCATCTAGTTGCCTGCATGTTATTTTGGATCTTTCAAAAATGAATGTGAAGATCAAAAAGGGAGAAAAAGTTTTGATCAACCTCTCTATCATCCACGTATGAGCGTATTGTTACACATTGTTGTTTAAAAAGGACAATTTCATAACTGAGTTGAGATCCACTCTTCTATTAAAGGAGTCAAAGATGAAGGCACGAGGTGAAAGCAAAGTTAAGGAATTATTTGTGAGGTTAGATTAGGGCTTGAAAAAAGTAAAGAAGGAAGAAAGAGATTATAATCAAATTTTAAAACAAAGGATAATAATGTCACTACGGCAGGAAATCTATACACTGAAAATCTGAATGTGGACTATTGTAAGAAAAATTCAAATGAAAAGGTGATAAAAAAATCTATTTCTAAGAAAGAATAGTCCATAAAGAGAAGAAAGGGTCATATCAAGTTCTCGCAATGGTAGATTGTTTGTTTCTTCTATTGAATATTTGATATTTGACTTTAGACGTTCATATCACGTAACTCCTCACAAGGATTGCTTTTCATGTTATAAGTTAGTTGATGGTGGAAATTATTGGAAATAAAAGCAAGCAACGAAACAAATAAGAAAAGAAAATTGCGAAAATGAACACTGAGATTTAATGCGAAAAAATCCAAAATCGGGAAAACCCTGTATATCCGCATCACACCAAGAAATTCAATATAAAAATTAAAATTGAGAGAAATTGTACAAATATCTCTCTTTTGCTCTCCCTTTTTTTCACTTCACTTCTTCACGTCGTTCTAACACAAAGCAAACAAAGAGACACACTTAAATTACATCAAGGGATGCAACCCTTCAAGTTAAGCATAAAAACAATAAATATAACTCTCCAGGCTGACTTGCAACGTCGCAACACTCCAGTCTATTTGTAGCCTAACTGGCAATTCTGCAAGGCCGGAGTTTGGAGCGTCACGGTGCTCCGCTTTCTGTCGTCAACCAAAGTAGGCAACACTCAAGTATACAATATCGTAGCGCTATATGATTGTGTGGAAGAAGAATAAATTTTGGGAGTAGGGGACCTAATGGGACCAATGTGCTTGCTTCGAATAAGAATATTATCTTTTTGGCTTGTTTAGATTCCATTCGTTGCAAATACACTGCTGGTGGTGGAGTTTTACAAGTTTTCAGATGTGTCATAAGTCCAAATAAAATCGGTAATATCTAATTGATCCAAAGAAGCACAATGATAGGAGATGTATCAGTTTCTTCTTTTAGATGAATCAACTTTATTATGGCACATGAGCTTTAAGAAGATATCCCAATGGGACCAATTAAAGTCAAGCATGAGACTTGCTTTGTGGTTAGAAAATTCCACAAACATTGGAACTCTAATGGGATATGAGCGCTGTGTTAAAGGTAAGAATAACAATTGAAGTTTCTTATAGGAATTCCAATATCTAAAATTACTTTGAACTATATTATTTCTAACATGTGTAGTCCAGCAAGTTTTATATCAAAAGGTGGATCTAAATACATGCCTGCCTTCTTCATAAGGAAAATACAAGTTTTCATGCTTGAGCAAAAGGGTGATATATTAGCAGGGCATTCAACAAGTAAAAAGTGCTCATTAAGAAATAAATAGGCAAGAAAATCAAGATTCTAGTGGCAGGTAGTTGCTTGAAGTTTTATTCATATAAGTTTGAGGCATTGTGTAGAAAGAAATTCATTGGCGGGCACAAAAGATAGTACTGGGTAAACCTCAGCATAATGGAGATGCAAAAATTTGAGCGAGAAAATCTTGGAAAGGGCTAGATAAATATTATCCAATATTGGTTCACATTTTAGATATTTCGGGTCTATTGTCCAAAGTGATGGTGAAATTGATGGGGATAACATTAGTAGAATTCAAATTGGATGATTGAAGCAAAGGAATGCATCGGGCCTGTTGTGTGATAGAAAAGTACCCCTCAAACTCAAGGGAAAATTCTATAAAATGGTGGTGAAACCTGCAATGTTTTATGTCGTCGAATGTTGGTCATTAAAAAAGAAGCATATAATTACGTTAAGTGTTAAATGAGGATGCTCAGGTGGATGCGTGGCCTTACTCTTAGAGATAGAATGTGAAACGAGCATATACGTAAAAAGGTTGGAGTAGCTCCAGTGGCATATAAAATTAGAAAGAGTCACCTTAGATGGCTTGGTCGCATAAAACGTCGGCCTTCTAATGGCTCATTTAGAGGAGTAGATTTATTAAATTTGGCCTTTGTTAAGAGAGGTAGAGAAGGACATAAAACAGCTTGGTTAGAAAATATTAGAAATAATATTTTTATTAGATTTAAATAAAAATTTGGCTCTTAATAAAACACAATGAGAAAAGGATTCATGTAGCCGACCCCCACTGTGGGATAAAGGCTTGTTGTTGTTGTTGGTTCTAGTAACAATTTTTGGGCTAAGACTATTAACATGGCATGCTACTTGGTGAACATGTCTCCAACTACTACTACAGAGTTGACTCTTAATAAAGTATGGTCAAGTCATCTTGATTATTATTTTAGATTTAAGGGATAATTGGTTATCCTGCTTATGTTTCTATCAAAAAGAATAAGCTACATCCTAGATTTATGTTAAAAAGAATAAGCTACATCCTAGACCTGATAGACCATATTCCTTGAGTATGCATATCATGTGAAAGGATAAAATGCTTTGGCATAGTGATGAAAAGAAACTTAAATTATTAATCAGTAAGGGGTGTGAAATTTAATGAATTATACATGTTTCAACAAGAGAAGACATAGATTGATTATTTAGGAGGAGATCAAAAAGATATATAGAGAGAATGTGTTAAAAATATTTATTTTGCATACTGCGAAGTCTAACACTACTTTACTTGCTGGCCACTTTCATTTGTTAGCAAACTTTTTCTCAATCACCAGAAGAAGACAACTACATGAGTAGAGTGAATTATGTTAGCAAGTTGGAAGTATCATGTATGCTATAATGTATATAAAAGAATCTAGAGATTAAGATTTGATATATGGCAAGGTCAAATTTAGTTACGGTGTTGTGGGATATTCTAATTCCAACTATAGTTTGTGATTTTGCATGTGGTATCTCATTTTGGTTAGGCATTAGCCATTCTAGATATGTCAGTAGCTGGAAGGCTTGTCTATAGCGTACAATTATTATTTACTACAAAAGGAGATTATATGGCACTTTTGAAGATATTAAAGAGCTTATTTGATTGAGAGGCTTGGTTGAATATTTGAATTTCCACGAATGCAACTCAGCAATAGTTTATTATAGTTAAAGTGTTATTTATTTTGGGATAGGCTAGATATATCATGAGAAAATTAAGCATATTGATATTTGATATCATTTCATTAGAGATAAAGTTGTAATGGTGAGGTTTCAGTTCAAATGATCTGAAAAGAGCACATCTTTCTAACAAACTTACCAAGGTGATCAGGTCATCAAATTCAAGCAATGTCTAGAAATAATTGATTTGAGCAATTGTTGATGCCCTTTAGGGCTTTACGTGAGGAAAAGACTAGTGATTTGTGCAAACTAGATTATTCATTTTATTAGTATTGATTAGGTGATTTGATATAAGAGGAATTGTTAGATAATATATCAAAGCATGAAGAGTGCCTTCGTAAATATCTCATTTAAGACCCAATAGCAAAGCCTTAACTCTATCCCTACACTATTGTATCGAACATTTACAAAAATAGGATTACAAAGGTTCTGATGGCTTCAGAGAATCGTAAGAAAAAAAAGAACTAGGATATGCAAGATCTAATAACTCATTCGGCAATCAATATCTCTTCCTGCGACTGAGTTGGATCAGACAAAGTAATAAGTTCCTTCCTCTGATGATCAGCTAGAGCAAAGGATATAGGTCTTAGCCGTTGATCTTAGAGATATGAAGAAAGAATGTATTCTCTTCTCCTCTTTTTTGCCTTTAAATTTGACAAGATCTTCTCGACCTTCTCATTCTGACGTATTGTTACTCTTCTCAATTTACATTTACCAGGACATATTTTGGTAATATATAGTTATATGTGC